TGGAGGACCAGGCAGAAGGACAAGAGGGCATAGTCTGAAACTGCGCCAGGGGAAGTTCAAACTAGACATTAGGAGGCATTTTTTCGCAGAAAGAGTTGTTAGGCATTGGAATGAGCTGCCCAGGGAGATGGTGGAGTCACCATCCCTGGAGGTGTTTAAGAAAAGACTGGATGTGGCCCTCGGTGCCATGGTCTAGTTGACATCGTGGTGTTAGGGCAAAGGTTGGACTCGATGATCTCAGAGGTCTCTTCCAACCAAATACTAGACATTAGGAGGCATTTTTTCGCAGAAAGAGTTGTTAGGCATTGGAATGAGCTGCCCAGGGAGATGGTGGAGTCACCATCCCTGGAGGTGTTTAAGAAAAGACTGGATGTGGCCCTCGGTGCCATGGTCTAGTTGACATCGTGGTGTTAGGGCAAAGGTTGGACTCGATGATCTCAGAGGTCTCTTCCAACCAAATCCATTCTGTGATTCTGTGATTCTGTGAAAAATATGGAAGAGGTCAAATGACAGCAGTGTATCAACCTATTATCAAGCAAAACCCCAAATACAATAGTACCCTTCTTTTTGAACTAAAGTAAGTGTTCTACTTTTGAACAAAGAGTGAAAGGGGTCTGTAGAGTCAGTCTAAGTTCTATGATAGCACACGATGTTAGCAAAAGTGTTAACAAATTTTCAAACTGCCAACCAAGCACATGGAGAAGGAATGGGAACTGCTGGTGATGGCTTAGGACCTGTCTGGTATGATATATATAGCTTGCATTGTGTTATGATATGGTACATATCAAAATAAATAAGCATAAGATTAAAGTGTTACACATGTTATAACCAATTGTGACATACAATAATGATATTGAAATAATGTCCTGAAGACCTACATATAGATGTTTAAATGAAAAGTGATTGTATTTGAATACCAATGCTAGATAATAAGTAACATGATTTGACAACAGTGCTTTAATTAGCCAAGCAGATGTTTTCATTGATTTCATTGTGCATTATTTTGCTGTTTGAAGTTTCGCCTTTTTCTTCCTTGTAGATATGATATTGAGAATCCACTAGATAAAATCCTTCCATCCAGAAAACATCAGCACAAAAGTGAAAAATGCCACACAGTGGCGATACACAACAGCCACTCACCCTCTAATGGGGATAAGAAGTTAAAAGGTAGTCGAGAAGATTTAAAAACAGCAACAATTTCTGAGGAGCTGAAATCCACAGTGAAGGAGAAACCAAGGCCCAGGTCTGGTCTCATTGTCAGAGGAATGATGGCTGGACCAGTAGCAAATTCGCCAGAGGTGATTTCCGACACTTACAAAATATTTGGCTTGGCCATGAATTTTATATCTAGCTTTCTGCGATAAAATCATTTGCAAATAATATTAAAATGACTTCTGCATGCTAATCCATTGAATCTGCAGTCTGAAAATATGTGGTAAGTTAGGGAAGTGGTTCTGGTGAATTCAGAAATTCAAACCATTTCAGATATAACCACTACATGCAGCTACGCCCTTCATGTCTGTGATCTTAGGTTACAGAATTTCTTTATAAATCTTTTCCATTCTTGATATCTCCTGACAGATGGGATTTTTTTTTTTTACCATATCAGTATTTACAGCGTTCAAAGTTTTCTTAGCTATGGGTATCTGTTTTACTCAGGTTCTTCCAAAATCCCACATTTAATCAGTAGCAGTTTGGAATTGAAATTTACTTTCGGTTAGAAATAAGTTTCTAAATTGGTCCAATTAGACCGTATTCCATCAGTAAGTGTTTTCAAAACACAGTTCTAAAATTCTTGCCTCTTTTTTTTTCCTTCATGCTGCTTTTATATAGATAGGAACTTTCCCTGTGTAAAATTAGGCTTGATGAGAAATTGAAATATTTAAAACATATAATTTAGATAATACTGAAGAGAATATGGAAGTTAAAGTAATTAGTTGGATTTTTCTAAATATCTCTAATTTGATAGTAAAGACTAGATACCTGTAGTGGGCAGACTTTCCAGTAAGATCTCTTATATGTCTTGATTTCCTGAGTTGGGTACGACCTCAAAATTAAGCTTTTAAGAGGCATTTTGTTGATATTCTTGAGTAAAATAAAACAGTTTTTAACAGTACATAGCATCTTTAATACTGTTCAAATTTTAAGTAAAATTGTATGTGTGTCTTATCTATTATCAATTTTTTAAAAATCTGATTTACTACATAACCTGATTCTTAATAATAAACAAATTGCTTAGCCCAGAAATTAGTGATAGAGCTTTCCTTTGCTTTTCATGTTTATTTAAAGATACTCAAATTTTAATCTATGGTTTTAATGGCACTTATTTCTAGGATCTGCCAAAAAGGAGGCTTTCAAAACGATCCACTAGCATAAGCAGCACAGCACAGTTCAAGGGTGAAGAACATGAAGAAAACGACCCAAGTGTGCCAAGTACTGATTTTCAAGAAAGCAAAGGATCTTCAACACAAGTAAATATGGAATTTGCATCAAAGAGTATATCAAGCTCACACACAAGTTCAGCCTCTGAAAAACTAAGAAACATCCCCAAAGGTACCGATGACTCTTTTGCCAAACTGCTCTCTGAAAGAGAGAGGACCAAGACAGAGGAAAGAAAATCAATTCCAAGCTTTGGTACAGACAGCAGTGAAAAAAGCCTTAAAGTGAGTGCCCCTCATAGACATTCAGGGGCTGGAAGGGAGAAGAGAGAAAGATCCCTCAGGAAAAATGAGAGTCAGTTGTCAGGCCACAGGTAAGAATATTTGTAAGAATATTATACTAAATCATTGAGGAAATCTGATGGAGGACTAGGAGCGACTGAAATATACTTTTTGATTTCATCGAGGGGAAATAGCTGGAAGAGGTAAAGATAATGACAGGCAGAGAAGTTGATTTAAATTATTAACTTTTGACATGCCAAACCACTCAAGACTCCTTTCTTGGTCAGTGGAGAGACCCCAGAGGTACTGTTTTCTCTCTACTGCTTCAAAAGGGAGCTAGTTACTAGTTCAGACTTAGACCAGTTAGACATCTAAGTGGTACAGGTGACTTCCACCTGTGGAGGTCATCTACAGTGTTCCACAGAGACATTGGTCGTTCCTTAGAAAGTAGTGTTGAATACCTCTAAATATTGCAGAAGTGCATCCAGAAAACCTCAGAGGGTAAAATTAAGGAATACCAACCAAGTGCGTACATATGTCCGCAGGGTTCAGTGGAGTGCTGTGTTGACATATCCAAGCCATGCCCAAACAGGCTTGTTTAGCTACCAGCACAGTGCTGTACCATGTAGAGACACTGCAGTGTGTCTTTGAAGCAGTTTAGCCTGTGTCTTTGCAGTATTTAAACTAAGCCCAATCAGCATCCCCACACACCATGATGCTGCAGCCACACAGCTTCTGTATTTTAAAGTATTTAACTCAAAAGTTAGCTCAGAATTTTTTTTATTGTGCTACTTTGCTTCAGGTTGATACAAAAGGTTTAGAAGAGCCTCATTCTGTGAGCTCCAAATATGTGTTTTTGACTTTTCTCTGTCTCACAGTTTTAATTGATCTGGTTTCTGATAGTTTGTTTTTCTGTGCAGAATTTGAGAAGAGTGGGACACATGGGATTTTGTTTATTTGGGGGTTGCTAAAGCAGTAGGACCCAGACTGCTACATCTCAAAGCTGGCTTCATAGTGGGGCTATGACTTCTGTTGGTTTTCGAAATGCTTCAGGTTGAGTCATCCATCAGAGTTTAACCAGTCAGGAATTCTGAACCAACCGCTGAAGATGCTCTAGATTTGAGCAGTGCAGGGCAACTGTGCCCTGTCCGTGCCTATATAAAATCTGCATAATAAAAACTGCTGCCTCATTGTCTGGCACTTCTCAGTAGCAGCTCTCAAACAACTTTAAGCAGGAGGTGAGTACTCTACCCGTACTACAGATGGTAAACCTGAAGCAGGTAGAGAGAAACCTGCATGCTGCAGGTCACAGAGCATGTCAATAGTAAAATCATGCATAAGGCTCAGGCACCCTGAGTGTTGGTCTTGCGATGCCCTGCCAGTGCTAGAGTGGAGCCTGTGTTATAATTGGTAGAAATATTTTCAAGTTTATATCACCTGCTGCACCGTAAACTAAGGCACATGCCATTATCTGTGGGCCATAAAGTAGTATTTCCATTTTACTAAATTTAACAGCAGCTAGGTTTGTTGCTATTTTTCACATGCTGATTTATATCATCTGCTGCACCATAAACTAAGGCACATGCCATTATCCCCTTCTGTGGGCGATAAAGTAGTATTTCCATTTTACTAAATTTAACAGCAGCTAGGTTTGTTGCTATTTTTCACATGCTGAAAATACTCATTAATATGCTAAAACTGCAACCACAGATTTTTAAAATTATTATTACCATTTTGTTTTCCTATTTAATTTCTTATAAATCTTGAGACACAGTGTGTTGAGGCCCTGTTGAGATCATGAGGAAGCAATGATATGTCTCTCCACATTTATGTTAGGGGCTATGGGAGTTAACAAACTGGGAACCTACTGGGGCTGCAAATGGGCCAGGATTGGCACTTGCTTCCTATCTGGAACCAAAAAGCAACTGGAAATAGCCACCAACATTATGCATTTATTTGCCTGTGTTAGCTAACTTAATTTGTGAAAGATTATTGAGTAACAGACCAAATTACTACAGTCTTAAATATTAAAATCTACAAGAGGTCAGTTCTCCATTATGAGTGCTACAGTCTTAAATATTATAATCTACAAGAGGTCAGTTCTCCATTATGTACTGTACTGGAATGCTGAGCTATGTCAGATAATGACTGAACCCAGGCAGTACAAGTCCAACTGTTGCTGGACTGGAACTGGTGCCTGCAGATCCACCTTTGATATTCTGTTTCCAGGAGGATTTGTTAAGTCTTGCTTGACTCTCTGTGAATGCAGAGACCCAGCTCATAAGTCCCTGTGGAAGCGGAAACAATGTGATCTGACTCCATATGACTCTTGTTTTCATATAGCTTGACAGAGCGTATAAGGTAATGCTAACCCATCACTTCATCCTTTCCAGTCTCAGGGTGGTTTATTAATTCATGCTCAGCACTACTGGAGGTAGAGAATACAGCTTCAGTGGGCTTTCAACAGCTCCCCAACAAAGCTGAGAAGAATAAATGTATTCCTGGTATTTGATAATCAATGAATATATAGTACATTATTTATAAGTGTTAAAGGCGTATTGGACTGGATAAAATTCTTTGGGAAGACTGTGTCTGACCGAGAAAACTCTTGTACTAACCTCAGTTAGCTATAGTTGGACCTGCTGAGACTTCCTAACCTTATGCAGTAGCTGTGGAGTGAGAAGAAGAGAGGCTGGACTGAAAGGGGACTGCCCCAGTGCACCATTTGGTACAATGTACCTGCGCTACTGTCCTCCACTGCTGTAGTGAGCGGTTTGAAATAGTTTCCTTCCTTCGGAGGGCTGGTTTGGTTTCGGCAAGAACAGAGGAGGGAGCTATTTCCTAAGCAGAGTCCCTGCAATCTGTTCCCAAAGCGAAACGGGAACATTCCTGCCAGTCGATTTGAGTTAAAGCCAGTGGAGCATTTGAATTCATGCTGAGCTCTGAGCTCCTGAAAACTCTCACTGAAAACAGCAGGACAGCTGATACTCCTGAAGTTAAGTGGAAGTAACAGAGAGTGGAAGGGAGACTTCAAATAAACATGGACTATTACAATATAACGCGTGGCTCCTGTAGGACTTTTATATCCCTTCGGCCAAATCCCACAGTGTTTGAGAGCCTTGCAGGATTTGGCCAGAGTGCTTGAGCATTTTGAGGCATGAAAAATAACATTGTAGGAATGGATGTTTGTCTGGATCCTCTTCTGTTCTCTGTTATTGCTACCTGATACCTCTGACATAAATGCTAATCTAAGTACTTAGATGAGTAACTGAAAATCTATATAGGATTAACAGCTAGTTCATCCACAGGCATCTGCAATTTTGTTTTTGTTTCCTATAGAAAACTAAAGATATACAAATGTTATTTTTCCTTCCATTTGTTGTACTTTTTCATTCTTATTTCTCATATGCAAAAAATGCTATTGTTGCATACAGGCTGCAGGCATCCATTGTCTACATACAAGAAAAAAAATTGAAGCAAAACCACTGCCATGCTTCAAAAGACAAGCTGAATGTTATTGAGTAAATGCTTACAAACTGAGTGGGCAGAAATACCTAGCTATAAAAATATCCTGGGGAAGTACAGATCCACAGTATTTTGGCTCACATGTTTTAATGAAAGAAATAATCATGGGGTTTTTTTGGTTAACTATCTAATTCTTAGCTGCTGCATTAAGTGTATGTGGCGGGGTAAATGTGTTGAGAGGCTAGATTCGTGATTTGATATTTCAATCTTATAGTATCAATATGAAGTTAGACCTCTGAGTACCATATTTCACATAAAAGTTTGTCCTCCTTAAGAACTGGAGATTCTGCCTTTGTTCAAATAGAGACTATTTGCTATCTTGACAGTGAGGAGGCATTTGGATTTCTGTGATGACCCAACTTAAATGCTTACTTGCAAAGAGGGCAGTGTAATTCAAGAGCAAGCACTAAGTTTTCCAAAATGACAGACCAACACACCCACCACAGATTGGAAAAAAAAAGGCAAATTCATTCATTTGCATTGCTATTGCTGCAATTCCTTGTTTCTTTTTAGGAGAATGGAATCAAGTTAGTGAATCAATCAAATGGAGAATAATGATACAGATGTAGTCTTTGCTTGTTTCTTGAACTGCTACTGCTGAGAGCATCTGCTTTCAAATTCAGGTAACTCTAGTGACGTTTTAAAAAGCCAGTGCTTAACTGCAGTTATTACATAATTGCTCATAACTCTAATAAAATACTGACTTTTAATAGAAAACTGCTTGTTATTTTTTCAGTATACTTAATGTTGATCCCCTTGCAGACATATTGTCATTAAATAATGAATGCACTGCATTCCTTTAATCACAGAAAGGTAGAGGTGAAGAACAATTTGTTCCCCTGCATCTTCATTTATCTACACAGCACCTGGCAATATAATGTCTGAATCCTTCCCCAGAAAAGGGAGAATAATGATCTCAAAGAATTAGAACAAAAGGATTTTTTTCTTCCTTGTATTACAGGGGGAAAAGAAATTTTTGTTCTGCTGGGTCAATGATAGCTCTCTGTGTCATGCTTGTATTCTTTTCCATGTCACTAGGAGTTATTCCATAAAGAAAGTATAATATGCTGTAGAGCTTGCATGCTCAGTCAGAGGTAATTGTGAATGGAATCTATATGCCTTTTTTTTTAGATTCCTTTATTTTTAGTTAATCCAGAAAAAAAGCAATATATAGGTGGCAGCAAATCTTCATGTATCCTCAGCTGTAAGCAAACATCAGCTAATTTAATTTCTCTATTCATAGAATCATAGAACACCAGGTTGGAAGGGACCTCAAGAATCATCTGGTCCAACTTGTCTTTGCAAAAGCACGGTCTAGACAAGATGGCCCAGCACCCTGTCCAGCTGAATCTTAAAAGTGTCCAATATTGGGGAATCCACCACCGCACTGGGGAGATTATTCCAATGGCTGATTGTTCTCATTGGGAAAAATTTTCCCCTTGTGTCCAGTTGGAATCTCCCCAGGAGTAACTTGTACCCATTACCCCTTGTCTTTTCCTTGTGACTCCTTTTAAAAAGAGAGTCTCCATCTTCTTTGTAGCCACCCTTTAAATACTGGAAAATGGTG